TCAGCAGTAACCAATTCATCTGGAGAAACTGTGCTCTTTTTGTGTGGAGAAAGTAATGTGTAGACACATGCTGCTGTTGTGCTCTGGATCAATGTCATAGGAAAGGCATGTTCCACTGGAATAATTCCCAGCTGTCAGCAATAGGCTGATGCACCACAGCCAATAATGAGAGAACAGGCCAAATAAACAGGATGTTAACAATGTGCATGCTTGCATGAGTGTCTCACAAACTCTCTGCACATTTCACAGGCTCCCAACAAGATTGATATGCATTGTTTAATCTGCATCTCTCTGGCATACACATACATTGGAAGTGGGGAATCCATAAATGATGCATAGCTTCCTGGCCTTCTTGGCTGCCAGGGTGGTAAGAGGAAAAGTGATGTAAAATTAAATACTGGTTTAGAACTGTACATTTGTTTTCTCAGAAATGCCAGGGTGGACACCAAGCACAGATTGGGGAGGCTGTGTCATCAGCGTGACTTCTACAGCTTCAAGGTGACAGAAGCAACCTAAGATGCTACCCAGATTATTTTCCCCCTTTAGATAGGTTGTTTTAAGTTCCATTCGAGATTGTGTTAAGCTTGACATAAGCAAACAGATTATATATGCAATGAAAACTTTGGTTCATACTTTGGTCATCCTTTTTCCTTGACTACTGCAATCCACTTCAGTAGTGGATTGCAGTATTTATTTTATTTTATTTATTACAGTACATTTAACTCCCACCTATCTAGACTGTGTCTACTCTGGGCGGCTTACAATAAAATATCATAAAGACAGTTAAAACAACAATTTAAATCAATAATATTCATATTCATTCAAGATGGGGGAAGTATAGAACGAAATTAAAATAGAAAAATGAAAATCAAATATTTACAGGAGGGAAGGCCTGCCTAAAGAGCCAGGTCTGTAGTTGGCTCTTCAAAACACCCAACGAGGGAGCCAGGCAGATCTCTGATGGGAGACTGTTCCAGAGTCAAGGAGCCATTGCCCAAGAAGGCCTGGTTTCTTGTTCTTTCTTTCTGGGCCTCCCTTGGAGTTAGGCCCCTCAGCCATCTTTCCTGGCTATAACGAGTGATTTGAGTAGATCTAGGTGGGAGAAGGCATTCCGCTAGGTATCAAGGTCCTAAACTGTTTAGGGCTTTATATGTCATCATTAACATTAACAGTAGTCTTTCTAATCTTCCACTGTCTCACCTTCTCTGATTCATATTTGTCTAGCACTCGGCAATTATCCCTCCCATATTCTTAAATCCCAATAGAGTTTTTTCCTAGCTCCTGCATATTGTACAAGCCCCTCTATGCCAGGTGAGCAGCATTCAATTTTCTGAGGTTCCAGATAGGTGGGATATAAAAAGCAGAGGGTTGCTTTTTGTGATGTTGCAGGGGTGAGGCTTTGATGCTGCAGAGGCTGGGTCTTGACATCTTGCAAGAGCAAGCAAGAGAGCTGCTTCTTTGTCACCTTATGATAGAAATAGACATGTGAATGATCTAAGTAAATGGGCCAGAAATCTGGATAAATTGGGACACAAGGTCTACAGAAAACCCACCCACACAGACGGGTACCTACACAAAAACTCCAACCACCACCCACAACAAAAAGGGGCATTATCAAAACACTGGTAGACCGTGCAAATTGGAACTGTGAAGCTCAATTTCTCAGCACAAACTGGGCCCTATAGGCAAATGGACATGAAATTCTATTTCAAAATACTGAAGTACTGGAAACCACCAGCAATCATTATGTTAGACTGCAGAGGGAAGCCATTGAAATCCACAAATACCAGCAGATTTTCAACAAAAAAAGAAGAAAGTCTAAAACTCAAGAAAGCCGGGCTCCCAGCACTGAAAAACACAGCCTGCAAAAGGTCAATGAACTCTACCCAGCCACAAGGACCAGTGATTACTGCACACAAAAGACCAGCTAACGACACCCATCAATCACAGTGACAGATCATCTCTTCCCCTTATCACAACAATACACCCACAACAAAAAACACACTGATCACCATAATCACACAATCTCCTGAAAAGAACAAAAAGCTCATCCCACAGCTATAAATACTCAGCTATCCCACAAACTGCACCAGAGCGCAGACAGAGTTCTGACTCCTGTCCTCTGAAGATGCCGGCCACAGAGACTGGCAAAATGTTAGGAAGGAAAACCTTAAGAACACAGCCAAATAGCCCAAAAAACCTACAACATCTATCGGATCCTGGCTGTGGAAGCCTTCGAGAATTTAAATCTGGATAAAACTTGGCTAACCAGTTAATAAACAACCCAGAGCCAAGGGAAAATAAGTTATTTTTAATTGGCCAAGCAAGCAACATAAGATGTCCAGTAGCTGCAGCAGATGCTGCCAGCCCTAACAGGTCCTATCTGCATGGTCCTATCAACATGACATTTGAGCAGCTTTTCTATGCTTTGTGCTGTTGCTGGATCTTCTGGAAGTCTCACCACCAACTTATGGGGAGTGTTTCTTCTGGGCCCTGTGACACTGCTGCCATGGCTTTTGCAACTAGAAGGATCACAAGTTACCACAATGGTATAAGGTCTCCTGCCTTAGGCAGGGGGTTGGACTTGAAGACCTCCAAGGTTCCTTCCAAACCGACAATGATTGCATGATTCTATGATAAGTTGCTAGCATTCTACTCCCTGCCATGCTCTGGCACCCATCAGATGCCCCCACCGTCACCTCTCATGCCCAGCTTTTTGTTGAATTGATATTGTGCAAGTACCACCCCCTATGTTGAACCAGTGAGTCTTGGTGCTAACTGGGAATGAATGGAGAGGAGAGCCCAGACTTAATAACTTCACATACAGAAATCAAATCGGTATCACTCACCCTGAGATTTGTCCATCTGGAGACCCAGAGAATTATAATAGCTATCTGTGAATTCAACTGTGAACTTGAGATTTGGTGAGCCTATCTTTGGTCTCACCTCACAACTTCTCTGCTTTTCTGTTCTGACCCATACGGTGTGAAATAACTGCCCCAGCCATCAGATTGTATGTGTCATGAAAAGGGAACAAATTGCTCAGTATCAATGTCCTATTATTTTATTTTTCCCGCATAGTAGTGGATTTTCTGTCCCAGGCATCAGAATATTTTGGCTAATATGGAGTGCTATGTACCCTGACTAAGATGGGAGGGGAGAGTGTCATTTCCTGCTTCATCCTTGCCATCAAAAACGTCTAGGGCCATATTACCTCTCTGCCTTTCCTCTGCTCCTCAAGTTTTACCACCTTCCATAATCCATCCAAGCTTACCCTTCTGTTCCCTCAGAAAACTCTGCCTTTTGCTGCTATTCCAAATGATTAGAACTGCCTCCTGAAACACTGGTGTAATGCTGCTTCTCTTACTTCCTTCAAATTTCCTCCTCAAAACTGAGGCTAACGATGTGCAACTGAAGCAACCATATTTTGTTTGTCTGTTTAGCCTTGCCTCTATTTCCACTATTACTTCCTTGGTGTTGAATTTTTCATTGAACATATATTTCATACTGAACAATTCCTTGCATCCTGATGGTGTTACAGAAATAATATGTAACCAAAAATAATAAATGCATGTTAAACACATTAGTTACTACACTCAGTCTCAATGACACTTAACAATAAAGAAGGAATGTTTGGAATTTAGGGGCAGAAGCAGACGAGACAGCAGCTTCATCATTAGAAGCAAAACTTCCTTAACATCCATTTCCTGCCACAAGAAAGTTCTGGAGTTCACAAATTTAGCTTGTTATGTCCAATGACTGGTTATTGAAAGGTAAGCACAGAATACATTTGCTGGCTGATGTTACAGACCTGAAAGCTTTAAAGCAATTTAGAGTGCTGATATTTAATCACCTTCTGATTGTGAAGGTGGTGTCTCCTCCTTTTCCTTCCCAAACAAATGTTCATCTAACATATGTTGAAAATATAATCCTGTCTCAGGTCTACGGTGGTGGCAACAAGAAGGCAATAAAATATTTCAGTCAAATAAACTCTTATTTGCACATAAGCAATACATGGACCAGCCTTAAATAAAGCAATCGAAATCTCTATGATCTTGCAAATATACAGACAACACATTTAAGAGCATGGAAAGCTGCTTTATACTGAATCAGATCCTTGGTCCATCTAGTGCCATATTATCAGCTCTGGTAATGACTTTTCAGAATTTCAATCAGGATTCTTTCCCACCCCTCTCTGCAGATACTGGGAGTTGATCCTATGACCTTCTGTGTGCAAATCCTTGGCTCTACTCTATTTGTCATTGTATCTAACTTTGTCTTGTTATGTGAACATAATGGCTGGATAGTCAAGTGGCAGGGGGAGAATGGAAACCTATAACAAATCATAGATCAGAATTGGAACAATAAATTACTTTATTGCTTACAGCTGCTTCATACCCCTCGTGCTAGCATGGAGGATGATCTGCCTGGCAGCTGCTGATAACTCAGGTAATAGAATTGGAGTCAATTACATGGCCATGTGCCATTGTGTGGACCCATCTCTCATTGAGAGGAGGGTGGCAGTGGATGTGTGCAATATCTGAGATGGGTGTGCACCTGGATTCTACCTCCGATCCCCTAAAAGGGGGGGGCTCCATTTCAGGAGGGCCCAACCTCTGGGAGTTCTCCTAATCCTTCATGGGTTTCTCACGTCCAGAACTATCCTTAATAAAGCTGTGATAAAATTAAAAGAATCCCTTCATAAACATGTACACCAGACAAATACAAAGATAAAGAGGAAATCAGCATGGGAGAAGCTCCTATGATGATGGGGCCAACTAGCTGAGACCTGACCTTTTAAAAAACCCCTTTTCTCCACACAAAGGAGAAACCCATACATATACTTCCACCCAGAACATAGTCATTTAAATGGGACAAGACACATCCTATAAAAGATTTTATGTAGTAATGACAAGATAAGTCACCTCTCCTGAGATCCAGGTGTGTGGTTTCCATCAGTCTAAGACATTTAGGTCCACTCTATCTGTGATTAACCTGATAACAAACAGGATTTAATCATCACCATAATCTCAGACATGCAGAGCTAGAAGAGACCCTAGGGATCATCAGCTCCGGCTCCTGTCAAGCAGGGCCAGTGGGGAATTAAACTCTCATGCCTAAACCACTGAGCTGTGCAGCAGTTTGAGTTTATAGAAGTGCAAGGCCAAGTATCTTATATTTAAGTCTGGAAAGTTAGAGACAAAAGTGACCATATGGTGACCCCCTACAATCAGGGCTGGCCTAAGACATTTTGCTGCCTGGGGTAAAGCAGCTAATTCCTTCTCCCTAGCAAATCAAGAAGTGTAGCGTCTAGCTAAAGTCAGCCAAATTGTTTTGGCACATGGGCAGAAAATCTCACCAACGCCTCTCCCTTTCCTGTTATTGTAAAAAACACAATAACAATAAATCAAATTGCAAACAATTTCCTGCTGTCCTGTGACATGCAAAATCTGTTGCCTGAGGTAGCCATCTGTAAAGAAGCAGCTGAAACCTATATTTTATAGTTTCAGTGCTCCTTTAATCAGTGCCACTATATTTTAAAAAAGACAGCTGATGCTTGCCTGTGCTGAAAGAACTGAACCGAACCATCTACACACACACACACACACACACACACACACACACACACACACACACAGAGAGAGAGAGAGAGAGAGAGAGAGAGAGAGAGAGAGAGAGAGAAGCCTGCATTTTTGGCCATAGATTTTGGAATTTTTATATTTCTTCTGTGCCACTCCGCCAGCTCTGTAATGCCCAGCCTAATGAAGACTCGTATACAGTAGTGTTGAAAGCTGGCTTCTGCTTGTGCGATTTTAGTGGTCAAATGAAGATATCGCTCATCTTCGTCTTTGGATTGTGTACAAGGACCATACAACTTTTTTTTCTGCCTTTTTTTATTGTGCTGAACATGTCAGAGCACTACACAAGGCTTGGAATGGGTTAATAGTTAAGATTTTAAAATATTGGCCTGCTGCTCAGTGTCATGGGAGTAACATTTGAAACCCATCCAAAATATGGGCTAAAGGAAAAAAATGAAAAAAGAGTGCACTGTTACAAAACAGGAGATATACTAATTTGCAGCTAATGAGGGCCTCTGGTATAAAGAAAGTATTTGTTATACTGTACATGTATACCAGGCAGCAGAACACATCAGACTTGTATTAGATTTTTGTATTCCCAAGGACGAAATACTCTTAACAGTTAGATCATAATTAAATATTTTTAATCAAGCAATTTTCTGGGTTAAAGTTCAGAAAGCCCAAGGAGTGTCATGTGCTGACACTTGCTTTCTTAAGATTCCACTCTGCTATTAATCTGTTCAATGCAAATAGCAAGAAGCAAGTTGCTTATATAAAAAGATTAAATGAAGTCAACTAGGGAAACTGATGACATTCAGTGCCGCACAGTGTAAATCTTCTGTATATTTTGTGCATACTTGGAACAACTATATTTAAGCATTGACTTTGAACTGGTTTATAGGAGTGAAAGGTCGCTGTGTCTTAAAACAATGGCAACTGGGAATAAAAACCTTGCTTATTTTTATCTTTTTGTCTTTCAGAAAGTCGCTTGACACAATCCAATGTATTATGTAAAAACACTTTGCTATGAAGAGCATAATAAGCAAAGACTGTGGGTGTTTTCATCACCCTGGTAACATGTAGTAATAGAAACAGATGTCAAAAGCCTCATGATTTACCTCCATAGCTACCTGTCTCCGCAGAATTCAAATAAATGCAAACTTATCCCTGAAACATCAGTTCAAACAGTGCAATCCGGGGCAAATTCAATAACTGGAAAAGCTGTCACATTCATTCAGTTGTGCAACTACAAACTCTCTCTCTTCTTATATGAATAATGATGCCTCATGTATTCTCTGTATTTCCACCCTTTGTATGCAGAAACAGGAAACATACTATATTTTTAATCTGACAGATAACCTGACCAGCTACATTTTAGTGTCAATTAATGACATCTGTGAATCATCATTACACAAGGTAATGCTTCACTTTCTTTCTCTGAACAATTACTCTTTCAGCATGTTGATGCTCAGGCTTATTAGCCTGGATTACTAATGGATAGTTTAAAGGTATCTTCATGTAGCATATTCGTAGATGAGATACTGGTCATTTTGGTGAGTTTTCCCAAGTTATAAGGATAATGAAGGTGCTGGTAATTAACCGTATTGGTTTAGGACGTGGAAAAATGGAATAAATGCAGATATATAATTGTCAAAGCTGTTCCTCCAAAATTGGTAGGAGATCCAAAAACAGTCTAGGTAACATGTAACAGATTTTTTTAGCTGCAGTTCCCATCAGTCACAACAAGTATGGCCCAAGGTAAAAGGTTGTGAGAGTTGTAGGGGAAAAATATTGAAGTCCAAAATTGCTCTCCTATGTTAAGAAGAGAGTATCTACAAGCAAAAGGGAATACTAAAAGCTAGATCAAATGGCATATGTTGGTATCCAGTGCCAGCGGAATAAAAACCTTCCCCTTCTCCCTTTCCTTCTGTAGTTGTCCATACTATGAATAAAATTCAAAACTGCTGCAGTGAGTCCCCCCCCCCACCTCTGAAACCTATAAACTCTGATTTTTATAATAATCTTAGAACTGCAGAGCTGGAAGGGGCCTTATGCTTCATGAGTAGTCCCTGTCAAGGAAGCATAGTGAGGAATCAAACTCCTAATCTCTGGCTCTGTAACCAGATAACTTAAACCAGTGGTTCTTAACCTTTGTTACTCGGATGTTTTTGAACTACAACTCCCAGAAACCCCAGCCAGCACAGTTGATGGTGAAGGCTTCTGGATGTTGCAGTCCAAAACTCCTGAGTAACCCAAGGTTAAGAACCAGTGACCTAAACCATTGAGCTATCCAGCTTTATGGTGGACAGGATGTTGTAGAAGGAAGGGAAGGCTGTTGATTCTGGCAGTGAGAACCAGTGGGAGCATGCCATTGGAGTCTGGCCCAAATGTCACATGTTGACATTCGCTAGCACCACATAGATATTCAGAGATGGTCAGAGCAAATCAATCTGATATGTGCCACAAGTGGTCTGTTAGCCAGGTATTAGGTAACATTCCTCTTCAGCTCTATTGCCTATTGTTAATTTTCTTGTTTTATTTCAGATGTGAGCCAGAAAGGGCAAACACTGGATCTTACTGTATTTCAGACTATAGGTAACTAAGGAAAACTGTACCAATAATCCTTAGGGAAAACTCCTTACATAGATTACAACAATGGCACATTATGCCAGTATGCCTTACAGAAATAAGCAGTACAAGCAGCATGTCTGGTAGTGTCACAGTTTCAGGAAAGAAAATATTTAGCAAATATTATACATCAAACTATCCATGATACACCAACACTGGCTTTATTAAAAATCTATGAGGAGCAAAATGAAAAAGTGGCATCTACGTGATTGATAGGATTTATATCGATGTCGGCCCACAGGATAATGGCAAAATGCTGGAAGACCACAGAAGTCCTGGTATCCAGAGCTGTGGCAAATTGCCATGGCAAAAAGCCCTGACATGTTAACTGAAAATAGATAAAGGTGAAGTCAAAATATCAGATTTTAATGAGAAATGGCATGATTTGATTTTATATATAAATCAAAAAGGTACCCCTTAGATTATGGAAAAAAACTCAAGTATAAATTGTAATATAAAGAAAATCTCCAAGCTATTTATGAATTCCTCTTATATTTGTAATGGCAAAGTAAAGTGAAAAAATTGTTAAATATTGAGCCCTCTGTTAATAATTAGATTTGAGTGTAATATATCTTCTTGGGTTGTGTGTGTATGTGTTTGTCCTTTAAAGGTTTATCACTGTTATTTCTATTTCTTTTGGTAATAGTTTTGAGTGTGAAAATTTTATAAAATGTTTTACAAACTTAATTCCTCACAAAATAATTTCTGCTCTTTTAGACTGTAAACCTGTGGACAGAGACTGCCTTTTTCAAAAATATTGATTGTAAGTAAGATGTATTGAGAGCTTCCAAAAATTTAAATAGAATGAAGATTTTCTTAGATTATGACCACATCAGGTACAGCTGGGGACTGATAATAGCACACAGAAAACTGGTGTATTAGAGAACATAGGTCAGGTAAGTGCAGACTCTTCCTCCTCTGTTCTTCTTGGTACAGAATTTTTCTCCAAGGCACAAAATATGGAAGTCCCTTCTCCCTGAAAAGCTAAGTGCTGGAATCAAAGAGAAGCCTTACCTTTGTTCCAAGGTAAAAACTGGCAATTCAGACAATCTTATGGAACTTCAGACAATTGTCTAATTTCCGTCTTTCTGCAAATATTTGCAAGATAAACACTCTAGAAAAAGTCCAAGTATCCAAAATTGAATGGATGGCGATTCTTCAGCAGGAGAAGATAGATAGATTTGGTTGAGAAAAATGAAACAATGGGAATTTTGCTAAAGGTCATTGTTTTTGAAACATGATGTTTATTCATTAGTGACAAAAAGATACTTGGGACATGTTTTGAAGCACTCCCTTTAATATTAAAAGTTTCACAACACAGTTCCAGCTTTCACAGTAAATTCCACAGTTGAATGATGGTTAGACTTCTCTCAAGTTTGGGCCTGGTGACTGGCTACCTTATATAGCCAAATTCTTTTGAGATCCATGGTGAAGAGAATCTGTGGAAACCTGCTCAGTCTAGTTTTATGACTAACAGCTTTATCCTGCAAAGTATGTTTTTAAACATGAACCTGAATCCAGCTGTTTTTCAAACGATATTTTGAAAGCAGATCCTTCTTTTAAAGAGGGATTGAAGATCAGGTTCAGAAGCAGGTGTTGAGAAAGTACTGATTGCCTCTACTTTGCAGGTATTATAAATGCCAAGGAAAAATAATTGTGCTGCCTGTCTTTATTAGGAACAGTGACAACGACAACTGAAATTACCCACCCCCCCAAAGGTATCACATTGACAGCAGTAATATGATATGGAAGCTCTGAATTTACTAAAAAACTTTTTTGAAATCTTGGTCTGAGTGGATGAACCTTGGTTGCACTGAATCAAAGCACATGAGACCCAAATGGAAATGGTGTACGTTTATTTATCTGTCTAGTCTATACTTTGAATTGCAAGTTAATTGGCAATGTGAACATGAATCACCAGATGAGAGGGCCTAAGGCTCACTCAACCACTAGCCTGGGTACAGTGGTTATCTCAGGTAACAGACTGCTTGGGGCACTAGAGCCACTGCCACCACTTATGTGCAGCTATCTGAGCCAGCTGTAAGGTCTTTTCTTAGAGTTGCTCCCTGCCCATTTCCATAACATAGCTGTCTTCTCAGTCAGACATATGAATAATGCCTGGCCCCAAAGACCTTGAGTCCTGGCATTCAACATACATGCCTGGCTGAGAAACAGATACATGATAGGGTCAGCGACTAGGAAGAAGAAGACACTGCTGCTGTTGCTGCCCCCACTCCATCTCTTCCTCTATGAGAGTGCTGTGCGGCAGAAGGATGGCAGCAATAGTGGGGGAGGTGGGAGAGGTAGCACTTCTTTTTTTTTTAACCTTAGGTGGTGGAGAATCTTGCGCCATTTTGTGAAGGTCAAAGTAATGTTAATTTTATCCTTCCTTTACTAGGATATACAGCAATACCAATACCAACAATACTAACTTTTGTCCTGCTATTAGGATATGTAATACCTAATGTCAGTATATTCCATCACACTATTAAAATGCTATTGCTATTTCTCCAACATGTGGCATTGTGGGATTATGCAATGCATCTGTCCTCATTTTGTTCATGATGAAAAATGTATGGAACATTATTAGGACTGCCTTTCATCTTTTTCTTCATTTAGCTACTGTAACTGCAGCAGTTGCCTAAGAGTCCAAAATATTTAATATAATAGAATCCTAGAACTGCAGAGCTGGATCTTTTCTCAGATTTATTTCTCAGACTACTAACCTTAAATTGTATCAATTAAATCTAAGCTGTGATTTAAATTTTCAGCTTGCTGTATTTATAAATTAATCATATCTAATGTATAGAAAATACAGAGCTGCTCATTGGCTAGGTCATATAGTTCTTCAAGGTATGTTGAGAGACTCATAGAACTGTAGAGTTGGAAGGAAAGATGGTGTTGCATCCCCCTAGTGTCCTTTTTTTGTTCTCCCCAAACACAGGTCCACCCTCAGGATGTGTTGTCTCTTTTGGAGCTAGCTAGTCCACACTATATCAGATATATGTATCTCAGACACGTGCTGCCAATACAACAGGTTTTATTGATCATTTAGTTGGTATGTAAATCACAGATGTAAATCACAGTTGTTGAGGATCATTCATTAAATTGGATTTGATTACACGTTTACTTGTAGGTGTTTTTGTTCACAGTAACCTCTTTAACAATATTCTTTAATCATCGATCTATTCTCTATTCCTTTTAACTCTTTCCTCTTCTCTATAATAACTCCAACTTTCCAATCTCTGTCTTAACTCTCTCAATGCAATGTCCTAACTCTCCCACTTCCATTCCCTATCTTCTCTCTTTCTCTCTCTAACTCTCCCAACTGTCACTCTAACTCCACCCCTCCTGCCCTATCATAGGCTCCTGTGCTTGGACAGGAGTGATGGGGGCATTCCGCCACAGATGGTTATCTGTTTAACCTCTGTTTAAAAACCTCCAGTGAAGGAGAGTCCACTACCATTTGATATAATAAGTTCCACTGCTGAACAGCTCTTACCATCACAAAGTTCTTCCTAATGTTTAATTGAATTGTCTTTCTTGTAGTTTGAATCAGTTGATTTGGACTGGAAAAGGACACAGTTACAAAATTTGTCAAGAATTGCTAATTTGTTGATTTGTATTTGTACGAATTGATGCCCTCTGACAAATACAAATCAATGAATTTTTAGTGATTTTTTTCATATGTCCATCTATTGACAAATAAATTGTCAATAAATTGTCAGTGCTTTTCATCAGACTTGATAAATCATGAATCAAAACGAATTGGCATTTTTCTGATTTGTGATAATCTCTAATTGGGACCCTTTCATCTGGAGCTGCAATCAAGCTTGTTCCATCTTTCATGTACCAGCCCCTCAAGTGGGTATGATTACTGCCTCTCTGTTTTCCTTTCTCCAGTCCAATCCAGACCCAGTTTGTTCAACCATTCTTCATAAGGCTTGGTTTCCAACTCCTTTACCATCTTTATTACTCTCCTGTGAACAAGGTCGAGCTTGTCTGTATACTCCCTAAACTCTGGTACCTACAACTGGACATGATATTTCAGGTGACATCTGATTAAAGGTATATTGCTTCCTGTACTCTAAAACAAAGTACTTCATATCCCGGGACATTTTCAAATTTGTTCTTACAAAACAAAAGGAAATACACAAATAGGTTAACACATATTTTCTAGATAACCTGTGAATGAAAATGCTGCCCATGTAATAAGAGCCAAGACTCTGGAGAGGAATTTGGTTTGGCACAGAACTGATGCCTTTTTAAAATCAATATTTCTGAATCATTTGAGAAATTTGTTTCTTAATCTCTTCTCCACCCATTCAAAACTTTAATGAGACCCCTAGTTTAATTAGGCATTATATCAAATAATGTATAAGACTAATGTTTTATTGCATATTCTGTTTTAATAAGTCACCAATGTTAAGTGTTCCTGTTCTTTGTTTGTACAAAACAATAGCCTTATCACAGTATCATTTTGTACAAGAGCCAACTCATCTTCATTGATAATTTATGAATATGAGTCAGCCCCCCATGCATGTTATTAAAATCCAGTACATGTTCTCAATTAAGAATATCCTGCAGCATTTTTGATTATCTTAAGCAATTAGCATAATATTGGAGTTCATCCACAGGGTAAATGTTGTAACCTGAATTAGAGCTCTTGGCCATCAGGTGTTTTTAATTTGTAGTTCTATGAAGCGGATGTAACTACACAGCCATGGAAGAAATCACAGTAGGCATGTAGGTGGAGCAATTGTCTTAATGAGTTTCGATTATAATTCAAGTTGTTAACACTTAGTTGTTCACTGTGAATAACCAAAACCAGAAAATATTTGAATTGCCACACTCCCATCTCCCCACTAAATGCAATGAAACTTTATTGAGCTGTATGAGCAAGGGACTTCAGAACATTTTTCTTCTTTTGGATGGTCCAGTGGGCTTGGAGATCAATGGTCTGGGTTTCTGAGTTGAGGCTGGACCTGTGGAAGACTCTAGCATTCCTTATAGCTGAACCTAGAAACGTTAGTGTTAGCAGTGATGTGCTAAAGCAGAAAAACTAAAACAACACAACTGTTGGACATTTAAATGTTGCAACAAGGTCAAGGTCAAGGTTCCCACTGACAGTTTTTCTCCAGTTGTGTTCTACTCTAGGGGGCAGTGATCATCCCAATTTCCAAGCCATAGAGCCAATGTTTGTCCAAAGACAATCTTCCGTGGTCACATGGCCAGTGCGTCTTAGACACGGACCGCTGTTACCTTCCCACCGAGGTGGTCCCTATTTATCTACTTGCATTTACATGCTTTTGAACTGCTAGGCTGGCAGGAGCTGGGAAAAGCAACGGGCGCTCACTCCGTCACATGAATTCAATCTTACAGCTGAAGATCTACAGACCTTACAGCACAGAGGCTTCTGTGTTGCAACAGGACTTTACAAAAAAATTCATTATTTGACATTATTTTGCCTGTTATTTCATTAAGTTTTCCAAAATGCCTCAAATTACTTAAAAAACTAAATTAATAAAATTACTTCAGTTTGAAAAATTAAAGCAATGAGAAAACATTATTGTTACTATTGAATGCTAGGTCTTGGCATTTAACATGTTAAATAATGAATCTGAGAATGCTTGTTGAAAATTGTAATGAATTAGAAATTGTGAATAATCCTTTAATTAATGATCTAAAAGTGCAGAGCTACAGACTCTCTGACAGCCAGTACCAACATTTCTTTTTTACTGCTTTATCTCAATAATGTAGTAGC